TCAAAACGTTTTGAAACTTTGAGAATTTCCTGCCCACCTAACCTATCAGAGGACCCTTAACTTACTGTTGAAAATTTGGGATTTTTTTTTTAACATTTTTTTTTCATTTTCAAATTACGTCCAAATTCGGCCATACGGGCAAACGGCCAAAAGCGACGTTATTTTTAAGAGGACAAGTTGCAAACTTGCCACTCCGTTAAAAACGCAGCTGTTTGGTCTATCGAGAAACCAACGAACTCAAGCAACCCACTTATCCTATAGAGGCCAATCCGCAGATAACGTTAATATTAAGAGGTCTTAATTTGTACTAATGCGTCGTATATTTAACGGAATGGCCGATGCCGTTAAATTGCGACCTATTAGGAGAAAAGGGGAGGGTCACCAGATAGAGGATAGGAGGTATTGACGGGTAGAGTAAGTAAGGAGAAGGGAGGATTGAGGTTAGGAAGGTAAACAATGAGTACAAGGGATGTATATACGGAGAGGGGTACCCCCGGTACACAGTTTACATTAGTCCTTTCAGGGCTAAGGTATACTTGGTGGTTGGCCAGCAGGCTGTTGTGGTGGCCTGAATAACCCTCTACAGGTTGATAGGTCTTAACCCTAACACCAAACCAGTATAGAAGCATGGGGGGGGGGGCGGGGGGCGGAGCAGGAGCATGGGGGGGGGGGAAGCAGGAGCATGGGGGGGGAAGCAGGAGCATGGGGGGGGGGAAGCAGGAGCATGGGGGGGGGGGGGAAGCAGGAGCATGGGGGGAAGCAGGAGCATGGGGGGGAGCAGGAGCATGGGGGGGGCGGAGCAGGAGCATTGGGGGGGGGCGAAGCAGGAGCATTGGGGGGGCGGAGCAGGAGCATGGGGGGGCGGAGCTGGGGCATGGGGGGGGCGGAGCTGGGGCATGGGGGGGGCGGAGCTGGGGCATGGGGGGGGGCGGAACACGGGTCATGGAGAGAGGGGGGGTGGAACAGGAGCGTGGAGGTAAGGAGACCCGAGCCGTCCTCAGATGTTTGCACCGTCAACATAGAGCCATCCTGGTAAACCAAACCCGTCCACGCTTCTCTCATTGTCCAGTTTCATAGAGCTCTATATTTATTTTGGAGCTCCTCCTCTACCCCCCCCCCCCCCACCACTAGTCTTCCAATTGGGCGCGGTAAACCACCCGCCCCGGCCAGCAAGACCCAAAACCTGTACCGGCATTGACAGTTCGGCACATTTGTGGTGTCATTTCCCGAAAGACTTGTCATATTTAGAGCAGATGCTGCTACCTGTCTGCATGCTGCTGTTGCGTTTCATATGCCACGTATGTGGGGGGGGGGAGAGAGAGGGGGGGGGACGCCTGCCAAGCTTGGCCTGGTATTCATGTACCAGTACAAGTATCATTAGCGACAATAACCTAGTAATGACTTCATATCCATCTCAAACCTGATATCAGTACCATCAAATGCCATAACTCCTGGTTCACATTTCTGCATGTTTATATCTGGCAAACTTATATATATGGCATGGGGTCCTGTAGCACAGTTCTCGTCTAATTGTGCCTGTGCTTGTTGAGGTTGAGCTTTGGCTCTTTGGTCCCACCTCTCAACTGGTATACAAATTTCTGAGTCTAATGGGCTCTATCATGCCTGCATTTGAAATTGTATGGAGTTGGCCTGCTTCCACCATATCACTGCCTAGTGCATGTGTCATCACCAACTCTTCAAATGCACAAACATATCACATTAATGTGATGTATCAATGACAGGTGGTCTAATGCATGTGTGCTTGGAGAGTACCCAATGTGTAGGTTCGAATCCTCCTCATGGCTACTACTGATTTTACTTACTCTTATACTATAGTAACATCTGAGGTGTTAAAACATTATCCTGCTCCCTTTGCACTGGCAGCTATCTTGATATTATCTTGAGATGATTTCGGGGCTTTAGTGTCCCCGCGGCCCGGTCCTTGACCAGGCCTCCACCCCCAGGAAGCAGACCGTGACAGCTAACACCCAGGTACCTATTTACTGCTAGGTAACAGGGGCATAGGGTGAAAGAAACTCTGCCCATTGTTTCTCGCCGGCGCCTACGATCGAACCCGGGACCACAGGATCACAAGTCCAGTGTGCTGTCCACTCGGCCGACCGGCTACGTCATATCATTTTCAACAAAAAATTCTGCTTTCCTTCTCATGCTATCATATACTGTACAATAATTTCTAACTCTCTTGCTCAGTTTTCATTCATCATTCTGTTCACATTTTCCCCTGCTTTCTTACTCGTGAATTTCCATTTTACTCTCCTGCATTACGTGTTAAAATCTATGGGCTACCTAATGTGTTTAGCTTCCTATATTTCTGTGTGTGTAATGAATCTGCCTAGAGTTCACATGCATTGTTGAGAAATACTCCATCACGTTTTGTGATAACCTTCTCCTGAGCTTGGCTATTGTATTCCTGACAGGACCTCGCCTATTCTCTATGTATGATAGAAAGTGAGACTATCATACACAGAAGAGCAATTGGGGGGGGGAAGCATGCCAATCATTTATCATCACTTATATTATGTAATCAAATACTCTATATGGAAATAATGCAACCCACCATCCTGTTTAGATGTGTACAGGAAATAATACAACCCACCATCCTGTTTAGATGTGTACAATCATAAAAATATATATTGACATAAAGGACAATTAGGAAGTAGAAATTGGGTCTACTGAATTTGGACAAACCAGAAAATGTTTTGTATTTATATTGCTAATAAAATTTAATCTAATATAACCTAACCATCTTAGGCCAAATACATGCTATCTGAGCCCTAGTATAGCACATATGTGCTATACTAGGCCTAGGAATATTTAAGTTTGTATTTAGCTTTATAAAATTTCTACTATCTAATTATCCATTACATCAATTTATGTAAGATGCTCCACATAGTTACAAAACAGTACTATCTAAACAGGAGGACTGGTTGAAATAATAGTCATTTGCTCCAAGAGTGACCTCATATTCTATTTACTGTATCTATTCAGTGCCATATATACACAAGAAGGTACAACAGGTTGTGACAGTACAGATTCTGGTAATTAAATGGCACAGTCATGCAAAGCCACTAACGTGCATTGTATTTTGGGTAAGTCTTGCAGTGGATAATTGGCAAGTCTAGCCTTGACTGTTCGTCTCCTACCCTCGTCCTTGCAAATCCTTCAATGTGCTCATGAAAGTTTTCTCATCACTGAATCTAGTCATTTTTTATGCTACAAACTCCATGAACCTAGTGTAGTCTGGCACAAGCTACTCAAACCTTCACTGTTTATTGACTATAGTCAATTTTCTCCTCCATCTTTTTTTATTATTATTTATATATACTGTACAAGAGTTCTTACAATCTTGTAAAGCCACTAGCACACACGGCATTTCGGGCAGATCCTTAATCCTAATTAACCCCAGAATACAACTCACAAAATCATTTAACAACCAGGTACCCATTCACTGCTGGGTGAACAGAGGCTACAATTTAGGATTGGCGCCCAGTTAATCCACCCCGGCCAGGATACGAACCGAGGCCAAAGCACTTGTGAAGCACTGGGAGAGTGCTTTACCACTGTGCCACAGGGACCCAAATATCTATCAATTTTCTATTGCACTGGTCAGGGATACATTGCATCACGTATTGTCAATGTTTGGCCTCCATTGCTGCTATTATATCTAGGTTCAAATCTCTATCCATTTCTTTTAGCTCATTTACTGTGCATATAGTTTACAAGCACAGTGGTTTGAAATATCAGTATGGATGATAGGGGTGTCAGTACGGATGATACGGATATCATCCATATCTTGCATTTAAGACTGTCAGCAAGTGGGAAAACTCAACTTACAACCCCTGTTAACTAGTGGAAAATGGAATATTGGATATAGATGTACTAACCTCACACAAACTGAAATTGCAAAAATTACAATATTTAGTAATAATTCACCAGAGTTATCAACACAGAAAGAGCTATACATTTAGCGGCACTGAATGTCCTATGCACTCACTAGCTTCTTCATAAACATGTACAAATTTACAAGGATATTGTGTTGAATAAACTATTTTAGAATGTTTCATCATGTATGTAGTTCTGTAGTGGGGAAAACCTGATCTTGTGCATGTAAATATACTCTGTTGATCAAAAACTTGTATCCTATCTGCTGACAATTACACTACTATTATGTTTTAATTCAGTCTCTGATCATTTTATTTTAAAGGTCTTCATCTCCCTTTGATGGTTAAAGTTATAGAACACTAAGTATAAAAGTTAACAGTAACTGCTATATAGTACTGTAGTATCAAATGTCACACGCCATACCTGTGACTGGTGTTTACCCAGCTGTTCCACACCAATAACTATATACTGTACTGTACTTCATACTTCATGGTACCAGCTTCTCACTTTACTCATGTCTTTGTGGTTCACATTCAGTAAGTGAAGAGATTGCTGTTTCTGCCTTTATAATGCTCAAATAGTAGCCATGTTATTATCACAGTGCATGAACCTGTAGTGCGTTGGTTTGCCAAGTCAGCTCATAACAATCGCATATGAGTTTGATTCCCTGGTAGGACATGACGTTTGGGCATGGTTTCCCCTACACCGGATACCTCTGTTCACCTAGCAGTAAACAGATACCCGAGAATTAGTTGACTGCGGTGGGTTCCATCCTAGGAATGATCAATCGCTGGCTAAGAGGGACCTCAATAAACCAAACAGGCTTCCTATCCCCAAAATGGTAAACCATTTACCGTGTGCATTGGAAATGGTAAAATAAATGACCATGCAATGACCAGCAACACATTAAGTAGAAGTGTATCTAATGCAAGGACAGCACATTTTATCACTAATAATATTAAAACAAATAATAAAAGATGCTTTTACTACATGAATAGACATGTGCTATGTACAAATTAGCAAGCAAAACTCACAAACCTTTGTATGTACTTGGTGTCAAAACATGCACACAACTCAAAGTTCATTACTGTACTTACCGTAGTCAGACGATCATGAGCATCATCCTTATGGGGAAAAACATTAAAGTCATTAGTAAAACTATCACAACCATTCTACTTTAACAGAAAATATACAAGGAGAATTTTTTAGTAATTTCATAAATGATTTGGTAGCTCTGGTAAGACTAAATATTAGGTTAGCGAGCTAACATTCAACTACTAATTATTCAAGGGTAATTACCTAAGTTTAGTTACAAGATGAGACCAACACTTTTGGTGCCCCCGTCTTCTTTATAATCTCTGTCATATGATGCTTTGAAACTGTTCATGGTTTTGGCATCCACCACCACCACCTCACTTAAATTGTTCCATCCATTTATAAATTCTGTTCGCAAATACAAACTTTCACATATTGTTTTTAGATCTTTGTTACCGTAGCTTGAATCTATTGTATAATGTATCATCTTCCCAGCCAAACAGCAATCAACAATTGGTCTGACATCGCTTATACATTTCACATACTGTATACAGTACAATATATAACAGACTTGTTAAAAAGTAAAAATAACACTGAATATTAATACAATATCAGTAATAAGTGGAGAAACTATTCTATTATCAGCAGTTAAATAGCAGCAGCATTTTAATTTAGTGCATCAAAAATAGTTTTAAGTTAGTCAAGAATACGATTAAGATTTAAGCTTGACCTCAATGTCTTGGTTATCTTCCCCCCCCCTCTCCCCAACAAAAAAAAATGGAATTTGTGTTTGTGCAACACTTCTGCCCTCACTGGTAGACTTTTAATTAATAAAAATATAAAGAAGAAATCTTAAACGTAATGACATGCCCTTTTCTGGTGCCAAAATGGCTCCCCAAGCTTAACAATAACTGCTTAAGGATTCGGCTTAGTAAAAACAATAGGCCTCTGAGAAATGTTTGTCACCTACCAGAATCTGGACCAGAATTATTGAAAGTTTTTAACAATGTACCAAATTCACATAGTTGTCATTCACACTTAGGCAACGCTCTCACCTAAAACTCTCTGGGACATAGTTCAATGCTTTAAAACAGTAAAATGATGTAAAAAATCTGGTGAATATATTTAAGAACATGTAAACATAGAATCAAGGAAACTGATTAAGCTTATTGGCCCATACAATGCAACTCCTATTTATATCAACCCAAATTCATTCATATACACAGTTACTGTATGTCTAACCTATGCTGCAAACAATCAAATTGTCCCATGCCTATTACGTTACCCAGAAATTTGTTTCGTAGAACAACCACCCTATTTGTACACCAGTATTTATCCAGGTCTTTCCTGAACCTAAACTTATCAAATTTATGCTGATATACTGTATTTAACACCTCATTAATATCCCTTTTGTAATACGTACCCTTTTATCCACACGAGCACTTTTAATCATGTCACCCATATATCTTTGCCTTCTAGAGAATATGAATTATGTTTTCTTAATCTCTCTTAATATGGAAAGTTTGTAAATCCTGGGATTAACTTTGCCATCCTTCAATGTACTCACTGAAGTCCATTCTATAGGACTTTAACCAATATTGAACTGCATAATAAAAATGGGGCCGAACAAGAGCAAGACGCAGGATAATAACAACACCAGGTGTTTTACTTCTAACACTTCTAGAAATAAATCCCAGTATCCTATATGCCTTATTCAGAACATATATGCACTGTTTTTTTAACCTTAGATCCTTACAATCATGACTCCCATGGCTAGTTGAACTTCACAGCCACAGTTAAAGGTTAGATCACATTACAACTTACTTCACCAATTATGCAACTGACAAAGCAAAGAATTTGGATCACATGGCACATGTAAATGCCAAGACATTAAACATCAGTTTAAAGTTCAGCTGTAAAAAATACATCCTCAGGACCTCAAAAAAGGTCCCCCCCCTCCCTTCCTCAAAAGGGGGGGGAACCTTTGATAAGCCACCGGCTTCCTGTCCTTGTCAAGGACAGGAACAAGAGATTTTGGCACTCACAAATTAAGCAACTGAATAAATTCTAACAAAAATTAAAGCAGTCCAAGCATAATGTTCATAGTACACTACTGAATGCATACTATCATCGCTTTTCTCTCGTGTTCTTCTTTCAGCTTTCAATACATAATCAGCTTTCAGTACATAATGACAACCATATCACAAGTGAGCAAAGAAGATAAAAAAAAGATGGGTAAATAAACACTTAAGTTCAAAATATGAAGAACACAATAAAGAAAGCCACATAGCTGAAAGAAAACCCAAGCCAGCCTGTGATAGGTTGAGAGATATAAGGGTCAGCTCATTATATATGAGCTGTTATGTTCTATCACATGTGAAAGAAGATCCAAGGTTGCGAGTGATATGTATGGGCAACCATTAACTCTTCTAATGTATAAGCCTTTAATATGAAGTACAGCAATGCTTCATATTAATTAGGCGATCCCACATAATAGACGTGTGATTGCTTGACTGATTTGAGCACAGGTTACATACAGTATATGAATGAGTTCAGGGGATACAAATAGGAGTCGACTCATATAGGCCAATAGGAGCAGCCACATATGGTCCAATGGCCTTCTACAGTTCACTTTATTCATATACTACTCTTATTAAACATGTGTTTCTTATGCTTTTGTTATGAAGTCACTACATTATTACACAGTTCATTAAGCTATGAATACGATTCTGCACACCTACAGAGTGTCATAAATACAGAACTTTACAGCTTGGAATGTGAAAACAATAAATGTAAAGGTCACAAATATACAGGGAATTAGCTAGTGTATAAAATAAAATATGTAAGTAATGGTAATGTCTTCTCACAGACATAATAACATACGATAAAAACCCACTTGTATATTTGTGAAATTTATGTAAGGAATTGACACACAAAGTCTTTTGCACTCTCCTGAGTGCTTTATCAAGGTCTGAACGTGTGAACACACACACACACAGACCTTGATAAAGCACTCAGGAGAGTGGAAAGACTTGGTATATATTCTTTACATAAATTTCATAAATACTGTACACAAGTGGGTTTTTATCCTATAAAATATATTGTTACGTTTATAATAAATTATCCATTTAGTATGAGTTCCAAGTTATACAAGTTTATCTCAAGTAACAAACTAGTTTGGTGAAGAAGTCAGTATAAGACCTCTTAAACTAACTAAAAAATGAAAAATAAAAATGTTGTACAGTACGAGCATTTCAGCATTATTATAGGATACATTTAGTGCCAAAATCAAAAGACAAATTCTGACAACTCTTGTGACATTTAAAAGTCAGTGACTTAAGTGATGAAGCAATATGAGGAACATCATAATTTTTTATTATGATTTGTTATTATAGCAACAAGGAAGAAAGTTAAGAAGCACAATTGCAAATAAAACCTTGCCCAAAACACTATGTGTGCTAGTGGCTTTACAAGAATGTGAAATCAACTTAATTTCTGTTCTCTGTTAACCCAAAATGTACCTTCTTGTATATAAACAAATAAATAAATAAATGAATAAATCAATCCTGAAAAGAAGTGCGCCCCGAGGATTCGACCTGAAGATCAATGAAAGTATTGCGTTCCCTCTCTCAGGGACGGTCATCAAAGAAAAAGGTTGAGGAAATTCATTGAAAACTACGAGGCATCTCCACCACATAAGAATTCTCTGCTTCTTAAGGTTGGCTGTCTGAAGTAGTGCACACGAGAGTTGCTAGAGATTTTATGAAACGATAAAAGACTTTCCATAATCGTAGTCAGCTCCTCCAAGGTTTGCGATCTTTGCTTCTCCCACTTGTTTGCCAAGTGTTAATTTTCATAGTTTTAACCTACTATACCTATGAATAGCAATACTGTATATGACAGGTTTAAGGGGTCACAGGAACCTATCTATTTTTTCATATACTGTACAGTATATTTTGAACTAATAATTTACAGTAAGCCACATAATTAACAAACACCATGAACTGTACTGTATGTTACTTTGGAAGCCATCAAAGAATCTTTTGTTCATAAGATATTCTGTTAAGCTAATGGTTTAGGATGGAAGGCAGAGTCATAAGTTTGAAGAATAAATATATAATTTTAGACATGCTGGTCGCTGTTTGAAGTTGTTCTCCTTTAACCCCAGTGCCATTATTCATTGAGTTTAATAAGCATTAACTCCCATTGTTGGGTATTGAAAGCCTGCATTTAGGCTTATCAAGGTCATTCAAGACCAACTGGGATGTGAACCTTCCCCTGGATGCAACCCACAACACTTGCCTAACTCCCAGGCAGGGCCAGTCTTAATCCAATTGGACAAAAGACTAAGTTTATTTGTTGTTCCACTTTAATGTATATCGCTGGTTTTTCATTTGATACTTTACTGATTGTAGACAACTCTGGCAAAATCATCGGAGACCATTGTTATATTGTAGTTACATGTAGATTACCATTTTAGATGAGGATTGAAGGTTTCATAATACCTGTAGTCTATAAGCCTCAAACTCGCCACCCTCATCTATTCCTGTTGCCAGGAACACAAAGCCTGTACTTAGGCTTACCGGAATTCACCCCTATCCTATCCCTTAGGCCAACTACTAACCTTCCCCAGTATGCAATCCATAACAACCTTGACTTTTAGCTGAATAACAGTAACACTGAATAACACTAGCTGAATATCCTTGCACTTAGACCTTGAGAGGCCTTACAGACTTCCTGTATGTGATAAATATAAATAAATAAATACTGTACTGTATTTTATTATCACAAAAACTATGAATAAGTAAGGTTCAGCTATTCACAGATGACGAGTCACAATAATGTGGCTGAAGAATGTTGACCAAACCACACACTAGAAGATGAAAAGATGACAATGTTTTGGTCCATCCTGGACCACATAAGTAAGGCAAGAGAGAGGCGAGGAGGAGGAAACCTTAGAGGAAGGTAAAATCACGGCAAAAGGTACTGAAGGGATAGGTGAAATACAGGGTGTAAGGGGATAATAATAGGAGTAAGAATGGGAACGAAAGAAAAAAAAGAAAAAAAAAAAAAAAAGGATGGTTAGACC